AATCTCTCCAAACACTATTCAAATGAAATATGGGAATAACAAGTGTTGCATTCAGCAAACCCGCTACTGCCACTGCATCACATATCTGTAACACAAATGAGAAAAACCATTAGCAACTTTGACTTTTAAGGACACATAATGTACTGCAATGAATCTGGTATCGTTAACTCAAATATCTAATGTACATTATGTTTGAACAACATCTCTAAGACCTGTGAATATATTTGTCTTCACAAATTTGTTGTTCATTAGCACATGGAAAACCAATAATTGTGTAAATCCACTGGAAAGATTACATCTCTCTTTTATGGGAAAAGAAACATTATATATTCAAAAAGGATTAAATTACAAGATATTAAAAGTCGATGAGTGCAAAGAAAGATAAGCTCAAATTCCTCAGAAGTTCCACTAAGATAGTTGATGGAATTCTATCATAATCGCATAAATCGAATTAAGGTTTGAGACAATCGTAAGTTTTAATAAAAGGGAATATCAAGTTATAGTACTCTATTATTGCAATTTCAAGAAAATGTAAGTACAAGAAGATATATACATGCACTCTGTGTACATTGAAGCTCTAGAGCACTAACAGGTAGCTAGTGCGAGCAATAAGAATGATTAACAGATTACTGAATTTGAACATACAATGGCAAAATGTGTTAAATGAAAATTCACGAGGACAAATGATTAAGAAGCACATTTTAACAACCTTTGGACCAACTGTTATAAGTAGAAACATACCGATAATCTTTGTTGGTTCAACCCACCATTTGCTTCAATTATTAGGAACCCATTTCTTTTTGGCAACTCTGAGAAGCCTTCAAGCACAAAGTTGGTAAACATGACATTAGCAGAATAGTTAATACACCAAAAAATGGCTGCTTATAAATACTCTAACACGGATGCATAAGAATTTTTCAAATCCTCTAATCTTTTAGGAGGACAATCAAATTCATTAAGCCAACAATGCAGGATATCTAAAAGAAAACCTGTCAATACTTTTTAGAAAGACTTGGAAGTATGTTCAACGAAAAAGTGTAGCATGGTGAAGATATTTTACATTGGAGCCAACATTTAATATTGTAATGAATTTTCTACATGTCCATGTACAGCATTGTGCTTAATTCTACAAATGTCTTTTTGGTACTGAGTCTGTACAAGCGCCAGTTATGTAAGTCTGTTACATTGCATAGGAATGAACATATATAAATAGTGCAAAAGACAGAACCATTTCAAATTTGGATATATATTCTCGTTTTAAATGCATCCAAAAATCTACTTTTTTGATTCTTGCATAAAAAGGCAACTATTAGATTAATTTCAAGTGCAAAGATAAAGACAAACCTGTTTGAGAAATAGTCTGCTTGACACAAGGCTTCCAACCTTGAGACAACTTTGGATTCCACGCATTCATTAACTGCATAAAGTTTTAAGCCAGAAAACTATCAGTTATCATCTTCATCCAATTCTCAGTATAATTGCCGATGCAAATCAAGATAGATTCTTCAAATCATTGTCGAAGGAATGAAGGCAGAATTTTTTTCACTTCCACAGCTAAAAATCTCCAATTCGTCAAAATGAAAACTCTCCTTCGTCTTAAACGAGCACTCGTCTATATTTCAGTTTCAACGCAACTTAACACAGAATCCATAAAGATCAAAGCCTTTTTGAGCACTTCAATTTTAACCACAATGCAACTCCAAAATCTTACCAACGCAAGCAAATTGCAATCATATTCACAAATTTAACAAAGACAAACACTTAATACTCCATGAAACAACAAGATTACCATGTTATTGGAGCTTCGATTGCTTTCGGCCTCCATGAACGGCCAGAGCTTCTGGAATACCTTGGGACTCCGGTATATCGACCCAGGCCCAATGACATCACTTCCATCACTACCAGAATTGACAACATCAATACCCAATGTACCCATATACAACAGCATCCCTGATACATACAGCAAAGGGGCAAACAAAAGCATCCCTCTTCGCCTATACATTACCGACATTAATAAATATACTAATCTCTCAACAACATTTTGTAACTTAGTACCACCTCCACCGCCACCGTCACTAAGGAAATTCCTCCCACCACCGCCGACATTAGTGGTAGAAGTACTCTTATTTCGGCTGTGGCGATGGCGGGGAGATGTAGGCGGTGACAAAGACTTCACCCCGTTGCTCAAACGACTTGGGCCATGCATATTTTTCCTCTACTACACTAATCTATGTCTAAAAACTGGATTTCACGGTATTCTGAAGTCAGATTAACAGATGGGTATGAACCCAGATTTCAAATTCACTTCCCAAATACTTCACTGCTCAACTTTTTTTTTTTTTTCTCTAAAAGGCAATTACTGGAGAATTGAAAAGGGAGTTAACAGGCTTGAAGTCCACTGCTACACAACTGAGTGCTACAGGGCGAGGGCGAGGGCGAGGTAGGTGGGAGTGTTGTAGCAAGAAACACGGGCAGTTTGAGGGCATTTGTGAAGGTGGGGTAATGGGAAATCAAAGCAGATCACAGTGTGACAGATATATATTGGGGTCTCTTTTTTGTTGACTTGTGACATAAAGACGCCTTTTGATTCGTGTCGGTGGAACTAGCATATTTTATCCAGCCGCGGTGGCGCCGTCGCGCTACTGCCGTGAGCCACGAGGTAACTGGTGAACATGTAAATGCTAATTATTTACAAGGTTCAGTACAGTAATAAATTAGTCAGAGCTATATTGTTCAAGTCTAAGTCAATTTATATATTATCAAATATTTTTACTGTTCAAAATACTTTTTTTTTGGATCGAAATTGATTGAGAGCAATTTAAAAGTGTATTCTATAAAGGTGACAACATTTTATATGTTCATTTAAATGAATTATGTGACTTTGTATATAAATAAATTTATCATTTAATATTATATAATTGTCACTTAGATTGATGCTTAACTCTAGTTACGAATGATAATGTGACGGGTATGAGACAAATTGATATTCTCACTTCCATCTCGTTGAGTATTTTTGTCGCCTTGCCACATCTTCATACCCGATTAAAGCGGGGCGGGGTTTATTTTTTGTTTTTGTTTTTCATTTATTTCATTTTATTATTTTATTTTTTCAAGTCTTTAATTAGTAAATATTTTTTTCCAATTTGTCAATAATAATTCATATTCTCTTTAAAAATGATGATAAATTTTTTATTTTTATTTGATAAAAAATTTAAAATTTAAATTAATTTTAAATGAGACGGGTAGTAGGGAACTATGTTTCATGTACCTACTTCGGGGTAATAACACTTGTCCCATCCTCGTCTTGTTTATCTAGTTAGGCGGGTTATATCCGTTCCATTGGGGCAGGGTCCATAAGTATCGAGTTGAACGAGTTTTTTTTTAGCCGTCCCTAACTCTAGTGGAGAAGGAAGGAAAAATATGTGTGCATGATTTGACATGTATTTATGATATGTCCTCAACTGATATTTCGGTAAATTTTAAAAATTATTTTAAATTTAGGTGTCCCTTTTTGAGATTTTAATGAATTTTCATGGCAATCCATTAAAATTTAGGCATCATATTTTAATAAATTTAAATGATTTTTTTCCAAAATTATTTATTCGCAATAACTAGTGAATTTATAAGGATTTTATTAAAAGATGGATTTCAAAAGAGATGGATGTATTTCGAGTTTTAAAAATACATATAACAAAATCTTTAGAAATTTCACAATTTTTAATGAGATTCTTATGAAATTTTTGGAAATCTATTCAAATCTAAGAAATTCATTAGAATTTATAATTTTTTAAAATCCATCAAAATCTTAGTTGATGACAACCTTGATTTCTCTCCTGTGTTATATATTATGCCTTCTTACTTAAGCTGTAGTTTGATAATCATTAAAATAAATTTTTTTTACTCAAACTTGTTTTTAACTACATTCTTATTATAAAATATTCTGCACGTAAATTCAAAATTTTTTTTTCAATTTTTTAACCACATATTCTTCAAAAAAACCACGATTTCAAAACTTATTTTCTCAAAAATAAAAAAAATAAAAAATAAAAAAAAAATCATGTTAACGGTTGTCAAACATGGGCTAAAATATGTGAAAAAAATTTCGCTTGAGAGAGTATGTTCATATTATAACGGTTATTACTTTTGAATATTAATAATGTTGGAGTAATTTTTTAGTAGAGTATTGAGAGAGTGCTCGTTTAGCTAAGATCGTTGTCGACAATCGACTATTTGAAAATCAAAGATCGATCGTGACTAATTGAGTAGTTGGGACTCGAATGTAATTGCCACTTTATAAATCAATGTAGTTTGTTGCCTTGAATTTGTGGTCCGAAATTTATGATTATTCTTGGTCCATTTTCAACTTGTCCAACAGAATGGATTTATTAGGTGCGGACACAAAGTGATCTAAATCATTTCATGAATAAAACATGAATGATTGGCCAATCAACAATTTTGATTTGTTTATTTGGTTATAACCGTCTAAGTAGATCAATTTTGCTTTATGCACTTGAAATGCGATTTCATCTCTCTTATTTTTATATTGGGCTAGTGTTAGGCTTGGAGATGCCTGTTCGATTCAACTTATAAAAACCTTAGTCCACATTTCCTGTGTATAGGTAAATGACCATCTTGAAATATTAACAAATCGGAAGCCATGACCAATTTTATCCATGTTCATTTACTCAGCAACATCATAAGTATTTCACATTCAAAATGGTACATCGAAGGAATGAACATAAATAAACATAAGTTAACCTGTACACTCGGAATGTTAAGATTCTAAAAGGTCTAAACATCAAATTCTATATCTAACAGTACAATCTCAAGAACTTCATCGCCCCCAAGTTTATGGGAAAATTAAGCAGATAAAGCAAATAGGGTGGCCATTCGAAGCCTCAACTTGTATTTGTTGAAAGCAATCTTATCACCGGATGCAGATGTTTTGGACAATATCGAGTGAATATATTCACGGCCCCAGAAATTCCAATCAGCTAGATTTAACCTTTCTTACCACTCTTGAGAATTCTGCGCAAATGGAAAGCTTCACCGTCACCTCCATTCAAGGACCTTTTTTCTAAAAAGCAAGCAGTAAGCTGTCTTAGTAACCTCTCCAGACGTGATTGCAAGCAACATTTTGCGTCTTTCACATTCGGATTTGTTGCAAAAATAGTCGCATTAACGGCATCAGCCACAAGCTCCCTTTGAGACTCTCGAAGAAGGTATCCAACAGAGGATTTGTCTGGCCGTTCGTATGCCAGCAAAGCAGCACAATCCTAGCAGTAGAAGAAAGCGATGTTAGAATGAAAAAACCGAAGTATACAAAGAACTATAAAGGTGCTTGAAGTCCAACTGTAACTATTCAACTAGGAGCATGTTTGGCAAAGCTTAAGAAATTTTTAAGTAAATAAGCAAGTTTTAGAATGAATAATTTCTTTATTCACAAAATAGGAAATAAATTAGTAATTTCGATAGTAAGATAAGATTTAGACCCTGATGTCTCAAATTCTTTGAAAACTCTTTTTTCTACATACTCATTTATTTCGATAGTAAGATAAGATTTAGTCCCTGTTGTCTTCCATTCTTTGAAAACTCTTTTTTCTACATACTCATTTTCAACCACACATTCAAACTAAAATATTCTATAAGTATACCCAAAACTTTTTCCTATTTTTTAATCCCACATTATCCAAAAATTAACTGTTCAAAACAATGTTTTTGCAAAAAATTAGCCACCAAACAGGGGCTTACTTTCAAAATAAATAGCCCCTTTTATGTCATTGTATGGAAGAAGTAACTTATTTGTAACACGCTTGGAAATAAAAGAAACTTGCACTGATTTTTAAGCACAAGCATAGCCAAACATAATATAGGTATATATCGGTAAGAGGGCTGCATCAAGTACCAGGAAAAGAGAGTAAAAGAGGAACCTAGTCTCTAGCAAAATCATATTTTGCCTTGTACCCTAATGTGCTCTAAAATACGCTTATGGATCCAGTCTATGTATAGCAAGGCAAGATGGAATTAGTTCATGCCTTTTGTGAAGATCGAATGTTCATAATACAGCACCAAACTTTTTGTAGAATATATCATACGATACGTGAATTAGAGTCAATAACAGATCTATATTATACCTTAACTAGATCATCAAACTCAGACCTCCTCTTGAACTTTTCGAACTCAGATCTTCCGTACAACACAGCTTCCTCCAGCTTCCCAACCTGCAGTAAGANAAATAAAACACTGACCCACACAATAAGCAACTAATATTTTACTACGAGAATTGAAGCATGTAACCCCAAATTTCCAACAACAAATAACGGTGGAAACTATATGATATTAAGAAGCAAAGAAAAGGATAGAAAGGAAGAACTTTTTTATTTTTTATTTTTTTTTAATTTAAAAAAAAATTGGTTGGTTCACTGACCACCCTTGCCCAAGTGTGCCTCCGCCCCTGCATCATATCATAGCTGGCCTCTTTGTTATTTCAGGTGAGACGTATATGTTTTTATCACCTTTTCGTTAGGAAAGTCCCTTTTTATGCTTTTGTTCATTCTATATATTTGTGAGTTCCAATCCACCTATGAATTAATGTACCATTTCATTGGTGCTTAGGATAAGATGAGCACCGGTGCTCATTAGATCATTTCTGTATATATATATATATAATATTTAACCTATATTCTATGTTCGACTCTCTTAATTTCAAAACTCTTTATTTCTCATGCATATTTTCAATTACATTTACACAATAAAATATTTTGCACGTGAATCCAAAACTTTTCCCTACTTTTTAACCACACATTCTCAAAAAAATCACTATTCAAAACATCAATTTTCCTCCAAATTCTCTTTATAATGGCCATCAAACAGGGACTTAATAGAAAATGCATCTTATATAGTTACGGAAAATATTTCACTAACTATTGGTTTTTAAGCTCTAAGATACGAATCACGTGAAATTAGACAGGTTCTAATTTATTTTAACCAAAGCTGACCGCACACTTAACATGACTGACAAGTTATGATTTTACCCTAAAGTGCTTATGCTTCGTGTCGGCGGACCAAAGCACTCGCGGTTTTAACATTATAAAGTTGATTACATGTGCAAACCATACTTCACATGGCCTCTTATCTGTTGAGAGTCACAAACCCTTATCTGTTAAGTACTTGCCCCCTTACAACCCCTACGGCAACCTTCCCCAAATTTGTTCATATTTACAATTTCTAACAATAGAGAATAGACACTGATGGTATATTCATGATTCAATAACCTACAGAAGGAAAAAGACATTTACCCGAACAAGCTCAATAAATTTTTGAGTATGTAGCAGAAAGCAAATAGAAGACGTATCATCCTGCATATAGCAAACAAATTATCATGTCAATGATAACAATATCAGCATGGATCTATTTAAAGAAGATTCAAGATGTGAGAAGGCATGGAGTTCATCCATAGCCACCGTCATGAATATCAGTCAAGTGTAGAAAAAGGTCATCTTTATGGGTAAATCCATTTATATATTTGTCACCATTAAAAGCTGATGGATGCATCCATCAAAATCTTTGAGATGTCACAAGGCAATACATATTTTGATGAGTATATGATGTAGGACAATCCTATTGTAAATAGGATTAGGATTAGATATTTATAATAAAATGTTTAGTTGTAATAAGTCTTATCTTTTTATTCTAATATTTTGTTTAGAATATGATTTCTTTTCTTTATTGATTAGAATAAGATTTCTAATTTCTTTTATATTAGGATTTTATATTAGTTTTCTTATTTTCGTTTCCTTATATTATTAGGATTAGGGAATAATCTTGCTTATAAACACAAAGGTACTGTACACTTTTTGATAACAATAAATTATTATTCAATACATAAAAGATATGATTGTTCAAATATCGTTCATATTTATTACATAATTCTTATTATAAAAATTTCATAACGCTTCCGCACCAGTATATCAACCTTACACACGTCAGTTCCTCAAAGAATACAGGTCATTTCAGAGTGCTTTCTATGAAATGTAAATTAAGAGCTGGACTACACGAAATCAGTCAAGGCGATTCTAAATTAACAGGTCAAGCAAATAAAACAACAAAAAGAGGAACTTGATCTCATCTACCTGAACAATTTGAGGATACAATTCACGGAGTTTAGCAAATGTTTCATCGATTTCGCCACGCCTTATTAGCTGCACAACCAAAGAAAAGAAAATAGTTATTTAATATTTTCTGTAATATTACTAGATATAGCAGATTATGTTTTGTCAGGAGCCCAAATGTGTCAGTGAGTAAATATGGAAACTGAAAATTTTCACGAGTAAAAGATTAAGAGAACTAAAATCCAATCTCCTCATGCATCATGTAATTGTATTGATAAATTGAATGTCAAAACATATTTATGTTGGGTGAGTTTGCCGCAACAAATAATGTGTGCCGTTACTCAAAAAATTGTTGCAAAGAATTTTGACACCTTAATTTGGAAATAGATGAGTCCATCCCAAAAATATATGTGCTTGCTGGTGGCTACAAAATCTTGCTGTTGCAGCACATATCCAAAACCTAGAACATAATTTGGAACATTTTCTCCACAGGCTAAACATGAGAAAGCCTTTGTCTGAAGAGGTTAACATTAACCTTAAAAACTTCTGATGAAAAAGGACAAATCATTCTTTGACTTCATGGAAGAATCCTAGCAAGTCTATGACAGTTTACACCCTAAGTTTCTAAATGATCATGCCTAGGTGCAAGGGAAGAGCTGAAGTTACAATCGATGTCCCATCATAATGTGATGTTTCCTAATCATGTAAAAGTACTTCCCTACACCTACCCAGTTTGGTCTGTCATTTTCAGCTTGGCAACCTATGAAAGCAATAAATTGGTAACCTAATCATCACTCTCTTAGTGAATATATTTTATAACACAGTTCAACTATTGCCATCATGATCGTGGCACTCCGAGAAGCACTGCCATCATGATCATGGAACTCATATATGAGGGTAAGAGGGAGAGAGGAAAAAAAGGAATGAATGGTTAGAAATTTCAAATTCAATCGAAATAGGTTGTCCCTGCTGGCAGGATGTAAAAACCCAGAAACTAATAACTCCAGAGAACCCGTTGTTCGTAATTATGAAGAAAAATAATATGCTTCAATTCATACCTCACGAAGAGTCCTCCTTCTATTCATTGCATAAATGTTGTCTTCCTCATTGAACCCATTTTCTGGAACCAACGAAATTGGAGGAGCGGTACTTTTACTAGCCATTTCAAAAAATTCAAGTGTTCCTTCATACCCATAGTACTGTAGATAGGAACGAACTAATCTGGGAAGAGAAAAAACCAATGGAGATTATCAAAGAAAACATCAGTTGTAGTTCTATATTTCGGTAGTCAAATAAATGTCCAATTACTCCAGTTATAAATCTGAAATTCTCATTATAAGATGTTTGAGCACATTTTTAAAAAAGAACACAACAATGATCATCAGAACTGAAGTGCATGTATGATGAAAGACTCATAAAATTAGAAACTCAATTCTTCAATGTGAATTATCTATTCTGCATCAGCCAAGAAAGGCTGTTATCTGCATGCTTCCAAGAGAGAAAAATTCAGTGGCTTATTTTTTACAAAAATCAACTCAGCCACAATTTTCCTTGAAGATCAGGAAAAAAAAATAAAACCTTGAACAAATATTATGGATTAGCATATTAATTGTGGGTTTTGAACATTTCTCTCAATCATGGATTCACATTATGATTAGATCTACCAAAAATGTAATATAATATTTTTAAGAAGCAATTACACATTTTTTTAAAATATAAAGCCCATTTTTTTTATTGTTCTGAAGTCCAAGGAAAGGATAGTTCAAAATGATGAACCCCTTTCTTACAACTAAAAACATGATAGCATTTCCTTTCAAAATAAAAAAAACATGATAGCATTTGAATCAGTTATTCACGAATTATTGAGATACTGGAAACAATCGAGAATTGCAAAGAAGAATTAAATACAAGAGAATAAAGGAAGTACTAAACAATTTTATTGTGATGTTCAGAAATACATTATCTAAAGCAATAAAAAATCAGTATCATCTAAACTATTTTTCCAGTTGCCTCATTGCCAAAGAAATAATAGGAAGATATGAAAATAAGCAAATTTTAACAACGAAATTAGAATGGGGAATGCCATTAGCACATAGGCTGCTGTTTTGACAAGTGAAGAATTTTACTAATAAGAGGAATCACAGTGGTGGACATTAAGGACTGCTCTAATATATAGTCAAGTACTTGTACATAAAATGGAATCCTCGACTTATAGTATTTCGGGCACCTTAAACCCCCCAAATATCAGAACATTCTTGTTGTGGAGCTTGAAAATAGCAACATGAACTTACCCGTGACTAGCATCCAGTGGTATTGAAATACAGTCAATTTTCTCTTGTTGAATTGCTCTTTGCTCTGCCTCATATGCCTGATTCATAGATATGATATTGAATGAGATATAATAGTTTTAGCATCGTAATCTTATCAGTTTGTTCTCAAGTTCATTAACATTCTAATTTTGTTTAACGGAAAATATTGAAAAGCAAGTTGATGCATGCAAAAGACCAACAAAATTAGATTTACAAACCAAAATTCCTACAACAGAAATAATGAATATGTTGTTGTAAGTTATTTTGGTGTATTCAGTTCATATGATAAAATATTCACATCAAATCTAAGCATGCAATCTGGTTGGTATCTACCAGTCATATTAAGTAAAAGGAAGTGAAAAATATGAAGGTGCATTTTAAAAAATATACAACCCACATTTACAATCCAAATTAAGAAAAGAACTAAAAAAATTGGACCCAATGCCACATTAAGTGAAGATTTTAAGCCTTATTTTTATCTAGTTATGCTAATCTTCACTAATTATTTGCTCAATATTCCCAATTCCAAAGGAACTTGTTGTTCAAAATAAGCATGTCTAGCATATGAACGTAATTAAGGCAGGAATTAACGAAAAGTTGAAACAATCTTGTTGTTCAATGGAGAAAGGAATTGGAGAAGGAGAAGGCAAATCTTACGTTAATATCAAAAACAAATGGATCCTTTCCAAAATTGACAGTCACCCTGCCACACACATCAAAGCACAATCTCAAGAAGTTAGATACATCTATATATTTTAAATTTTGAGAAAGTATTCGCACAGCAAAGGGAATGGAGAAGTAGGATTTTCATGCAGTATACACTTGTTAGTGCATTAACCGTAGCATATGGAAACCACAAAGAAGAGACTCAAAGTCGTTAATAAAAAAATAGCCCAGAACTATTTTTTCAATTTGTTGCGGATTGAGGAACAAATCAACAATGTTTAAAGAAAGATCTCAAAAACTGGGATGCAGGAAGACTTCGACAATAATTTTTTCAGCATTATACTATGGACATCTGCTAGTGAAGTCATTTACATACTTAGGAGAATGATAGACAAGTTAGAAAAAAGAAACTAGATTTGCATGAGATTTATATTTATTTAGAAAAAGCCTAGAGGGTGCCCATATAAGTGCTGCGTGCTAGCCTGTTAGGTATAAAAGGAATTTTTATTAGATATATGAATATTATTAAGAAGAATTTGTTGGAACCATCCAAATTTGACACCCCATTTTGAACAATGGCCGAAATTGAAAGGTTTGCATCCATGGCCATTTTTTAAAACAGGATTAAAATACCCTTTGTTGCACGGACACTTCAATTAAGGTGGCCATTTTTTTTTTAAAGAGGATGAAAATACCCTCCGTTGCACGGACACTTCAACTAGGGTGGCCTATCCATATCTGCCACGTGTCGGATACCGACACTTCTCATATACTCTAGAGGATCATTTTTCTTTCTTTATAAGCAATATTATATATTTATAACTCAAAATTATTATTAAATAACAAATAGATACTCATATTTAAAAAAACTCAACAAGAAATTAATAACAAGTATAAAAATTAATTTATACTATATAAATGAAGAATTTTAAAGAATCTAATCGCGTCGATGACGTGTCGAGTGAGAACTTTTTTTTAAAAATCGTGTGTCTAACATATCCGACGTATTGTCCAAAACACACCCGTGTCAGTTCATCAGAGAAAATACCCTTAAAATTTTCGAATTTCTAGTTGGAGCCCAAAATCATTTCTTCTTTCCCACAATTCTAAAATCCATTTGTTTTAGTCACTCAACTCAACCCCAAACCGACTATTCATTTGCCAACATCTCACCTTAGAAGATTATCACTATGCCTCCTCGTTTTCCATGAGAAAATATCTAAATCGACCTCAAACCGACGACCATTTTCATTTTCTATTTCCTTTTCTTCTTCCGAATTATCAATTCAACCATCAAAACGAGTCTCTAGTTTTAGAGGCAACAAAGGGGTGTCTTCTTGTAGGTGGAGAAGTTCTTCAGAGAATTAAAATTTGGGAAGTTTTCTCGAAATTTACATAAAAGAAGAATAGGAAGAACATGACAAATATTGTTTGTTGAATGACATGAAAAAATGTAGAAAACTTCTTCTAGATTTCTTTTTATTTTTTCATTTATTACATGGATTTCTTTTAATTTTTGTTCACATCAGTGCAATATTTTTGCATGTTATAAGTATTAAAAAAATAGGTAAAATTTTTGTAAACAATTTGTTAATCAATAGTTGGACAAATGTTGGATACTATTTAATACGTAAACATGAAAGAGTAGATGTTGATTTTTCATTATGTTTTTTCGTTGTCTGACTTTTTTTAGTGATTTTGAATGTCTATGATTTCATGCATTTTCGAATTTTTAGGATAGCAAATGTAAAAAAAAAAGTACATGACATTAGCATGTCTAGATTAAAATTGGTTGCTCAATATTGTCCTAAACATAGAATTTTTGAAAGGGCTAAAGGAATATCAAATGAGGTGTTGTACAAATTCTCTATTTATGATTGAAATGGAGAATTTTCGCTGTTCAAATATCGAGTTATGGAGATATTCTAGATATTTTCCTATGAAAATCTCGAGCATGCTGGGATATCAAGTTTGGTGTGCAAATCTCAAGGATTCTGGAAAATATAGTTAGCTGTGCAAATCTCAAGGATTCTGGAAAATATAGAGTTAGCTGTGCAAATCTCGAATTTGCTTGTCAGCTAAACTTCAAATGTGCATAGCTTTTGAACCACAACTCTGAATTGCACTTCATTTTGCGTCAAACTCTAAATTCAATTATTCTAATGGTATACTATTTACTCAACGAAGATGTGTGACAAAAGTTGTAGACTAATTTTCTCACATGCTCAGTACGTAGGTTCTTAATTTTTGTCTTTTTATGCCCAAAATTCCTTCTTTTTTGCTTCAATCATTTTCAAATTCAGGATATCAAGTAGAAATTGCTCAATCAACTACAATTTTTGAAATTTTACAGTTTAAAGTTGGAAATTTGAGATTTCAAAACAATTTGAGATTCTCCAAATTTCGAATTTTAAATGTCTACCAAAAAACATAGTTCCTAGTTCAAATATCCCTACAACTTGAGGTTTCTGAAATATTTGAAATTTTGTCACCAATTCAAAATTTTCAACTAAATTCGACATTTAGACTACAATTCTACATTTACACTAAATTATATGTTCGAGTTCCCTTGAGAATAATCCGATGTTTGATTTTCTACAATACAATTTCGAGATATCAATTTCATTAATTAAAGTTAACTTAGATCTAGTTTTTTTGCCTATTAGTATTATCCATTGGTTATTAGGATGTATCATTTACAAAGCTTCTCTTGGAAGCTAGTAGTTTGGCCTCGAGATTTGTTTACCAACATTTGTACTATATAATCTTTGCCATACAAAGAATTTGACAATTTTTAAATAAAAAGTTTCACATTTTAACACAAAAATAGCTACTTTTGCCAAAGTCTCCTACATTTGGCCGTATGCCAAGTCCACCACCCAATTTTGGCTAGAAACCAAGATTGCCCCATTTTTAAAAGATATGTATGATGGAATAATTGCAACTGTGAGATGTGGCAATAATAGTAGAGAAATGTTGTCTTAAGTCATAATCTTTCTCTCTAGTCATTATGGACTGAGAAGAAATATCCAAGATGAGATTCTTTTTAGTAGATGGACTAGGGGCGTTAAAACATAAGTTAGAACTTTGGAAGAGTATTTTTGAAATCTAAAGGTTTTAGATTAAATAGAACTAAATTGGAGTGGAAGAATGTCATTTGGGTAATAGTAGGAATATGGAAAATGGTGGAGTCACCACAATTTACAAAGGATCATATTGAAAAATAATTAATTTAGATACTTGAGTTCAACTACTGACAAGTAAGACTTGAAGAGGATGAAATGCATACATTAGAGCAGGTTAACTGAAACCTTGAATAAAATGGAGCAGTGGCACAGGAATAGGAAATATCTAAGGTAAAATCCAGGTTCGTAACGAGCAGTGTTACAGGAATATGACATCTCAATAAGGTTAAATGCTAGTTCTACAAACCAGCTATGTGTCAGAAGGTTTGGTTCTCAAAAGGACAAAATGTCAATAAAATGAGCATTGCCAAAACAAGAAAGTTAAGTTGAATGTATGATTATACTAGAATACAAAAGATAGAAAAATGAGATATACACCAATAACTAGAGGTTGCACCAATGAGGATAAATTAGCAGAGGACGACTTAGGAGTTGGAGGTGTACTTAAACAAGCTCTCGTTCACAAGAGTGATGGGATCCTAATAGAATATGTCACAAGGAGAAGTAGACAAAAATTAACTTGACAAGTGGTTGAGATGGATCAGACTGCATTAGATATTCCATTGCATGTTGCGACAGACCCAAGCAGAGATGCAACCCCAAATTTATCTGGAGTAATGCTTAGTTGTTACTTGTTTATCATATCAGTACAAAAATTGTAACTTATTATAATCTGTTTCAGAATATTATGCGGTGTTATGATGACTGCTTTAGTAGCTATAGCTGTTTGCTCTCCAGTGTACCATAGGTTCATGGGGAAATCCTCTTCACAAATTTGTAAATGAGGGTAAATCTCTATTCAACTTTCAATCTTCAAAGCTCATTTCTGGTGCAGATGATGATTCTAATAGTAGATCCTGCAGCTTGCTTTCGAGTACAGTGAGATGCTGAGTAAATGCTCTCATGGCTTATTTTAAGTGAAGGCATTACCCTAAATTTTGATGTATTACACGATTCTTTGAATTCATGTGGCTAATTATCCAGAATATAGATAGCCCCTGTTTGATTTAGATAAAAATTAGTTTTTTAGTAGATTTTGATAAAAGTTGATGAAATGTATAGTTAAAAATTTAATAAAAGTTGTGGGTCCAGGAAATGTATGGTTAAAAATGAGTTTTATAAAATGGAGACCCAATAGGGGCATAAATATGAAACAACAATACCACAATATCATCAATATTTAAGGAAAACACAGAATGGACAGTCCAATCATTGCTTTAAGAAAAATGTAGAGGTAGAAAAAAAAATCACAAAGAGAGGTGCAAAACAGAAAATTTGAAATGATACATACTCCTCGCCTTGGCTATGAACGGCAACAGTTGGAAATACAGGACTTTTGACATCCTTGAAAACTGTTCCCACTACAACCCCATTTTTCCTGGTATTAACAAGCGGGGAAATCGTGAGAATTTACAGAAGTAAAATAATTGGATTAAACAGATATGCAGAAATTAACCTTTATCTGAATCCTCAAGGCCCACGGTCAAAAATATATATAACAAAATTTCCACTTTAAAGGTGATCCTAAAGAGAATGACTATCTTACGTGAAAAAGAATTCTTGTGTAGCGTAGTTGATACCACCGCCAATTGTGTCACCAGTTGTATACTTTGTATCACCAGTTGTGTACATTGGACCAAACGACTCTCCCTTTCCACGTCCACAATAAAGCAGCCCATCATCACCATGATATCCGTAAGTGTTTGCTTCCCAACTGTTGGACAGAGAAGGATCAACGAGGACTTCAAAATACAATAACAACTACAAAAGAATGTAGGCTGCTGACTGTTGAGCCACTCTTTGATATTAAATCCTCAATTTTTAAGTGGGATACATTTTTGTAAGATAATTCATCTATTTCATTCTTACCTGTATAGGAATCTCCCAGCTCAACGCTTATATTTTTTACATTTCATCAATTTTCTAGAAGAACATACAAGTTTGAAAGAATTTATATCTAGTGCTCAATGCACTGCACGCAAGAAAAGTTGTTTGTTAGGATTACCTGCAGTAACAAAAATAAATACTAAGCCACACAGCACATTCTACGTTTTGANACCAATCATTTTCTTTCTTTATTATAAATATTTTACATTTTTAACTCAAAATCATATTAAATAATAAATATGTACTTATATTTAAAAGATTTCAATAAGAAAAATTCATAACTAGTATAAAATTAAATTTATATTATATAAATGAATAACTTTAAATAATTTAATCAATGTGTCGACTTGTGTTCTGTCAATATATTTTTTTTTTTCAAATCACGTATCAGCATGTTTGAAAAGTGCCATGTCGGACACACGTATCCGTGTCGGTACATCATAGCTTTTTAGTAAAGAGGTCACTTAAGGCAAGGCTAGACAAGACTTGACAATCCTGGTATTAACTCTCTTTAGCCCCCGTTTGATCTACATTATTATCTCATTAAAATGAATTTAATGAAAAAAATATGACCGTTATCCATCACATCAACATTTAAATTCAAATTTTCTATCTCTTATGTGGTCTCAATAACGACTATATTTTTCATTCTCATTCTATAATAATTTGGCTCAAACAGGGCCTTAGCCTCCAAAAAGGCCATAAACAGTCCTTTCATGCCATCACTTTCAATTACTTACAATACCTTAAGAATCAAACTGCACAAGATAACATAGAGAAAGAGATGCAAGATCTTCTAATTGAGATCATAATGGTACTCTCTTGAAGATTTACCAAGATTGAATGCTTTTTTAGGAAGACAATTTACAATTTATTTTGAGAGATTTTCCAATATTTGATTTTATTTCCTTTTGTTAGTTCGTAGTTACTAGAATTTCAACTATGAGAGAAAAAGTATATTTTCCATTGGAAAGTAATCTTGATTATTTAATAAATAAACAAATTCTCTCTAATTTCCTCCCTACCTCTCTCTCTCTCTTCCATTTCTCTTTCTCTTCTCTCTCTTTTCCACTTTCTCCCCATCTTCCTCCTACCACTCTTATCTCCACAAATTCTTCTGCAATTATAGTATGTCATGCGCGAACTGCATCATCTCCATTATCCATAGTTGATAAAGATCTTAAAAATGGTAGTAAAAAAAAAATTAAAATGCATAACCAGATTGCTGCATCTTATTTTTGCAGATCAATGAGCCATTAAAAGTCTTAACTAGTCTCTAAACACCCCCCACCCAAAAAAATAAAAAAAAAAAAAAAATAAAATGACCAGAGCAACACTGTGATAATCAATGGATAAATCATTGCGCTCATGCGTCAGATTAGTGGGCCAGATCCAAATTTCATCTATTACAAACATCTCCATTTTACACAAATGAAGAAACAAAGAAAAAATAAACGAAGAGCCCTCAAAAGAAGATTATCTTTAGCTCCTCTAACTAACTCTAATTTGAGTTGTTTCACTAAACTTTGAGGGCTTGTTTAGCAGTTTTGGGGTACTAGTTATGGGGTTTTTCAAAGTACCGATTTTGAGTGATTTTTAGAAGCGGTTTCTAAAACTGTCTAATCCAACTTAGGAGTTTATTTCACGGTATTAAAAGTTTAAAAAAAATAAATTACATATATATATCCCTTTGTGAAATTTTTTATCTATAATTTCTTGTATAAAATTCTTTTACTCATAAGTGATGTTTTACTTATAATTAATTTTTTAACCATAAGTAAAATTTTCACTTAAAAGTGAAATATTTACTTATAATTAAATTTATAAGTAAATTTGACTTATAAGTAAATTATAAATAATGTTTTAAACATAAGTGCATTTTTTACTTACAGTAACTTTATATTTTTTCTAAGTGATTTTTAGTCTTGTTAGTAGTATTTTTACTTTATAATCAACTTTTTACACAAATATGAATTTTTATCTTATAAAAGTACATTACACTGATTTTGAGTAGTTTTTAAACCACCTAAAACAAGTTCCCAGAAAAACTGACAAGTATCGATTTTCCTATCTTCTCATAAATGGTACCACCTAAAAGGTAAAGCCTGCGAAAAAACCCTCCTAATCACGCCCTAAAGAATGCTACATATCCAAAAATGCTTTCTTTCTTAATTTCATGTTCCAATTTTAACTTGCACCAAGTAACCCTACAAACAAAAGAGTGAAGCACACCCATAGATAGCCCAAAAAATTCCCTCAAACAGTTCAAAATGACAACTTTTCCATCCCTAAAGAGCAATTCTTAGTGTAGAATATAAATTAACAAGCAAGATTAAATACAAAAGTAAAACGGAGATTGGATGACAAAAATGAGGCTCATCATGTATGTAAATGTATTTATCAAAATCACCATGTAGGTTTTAATTTGTCAGAGCAGTGAACATATCTTAGTAACTGATTTCTTTGATGGTGAAGTTAAAAAATGACGCCACATTCTTCTTCAAATCTGTTGAAACCAGAAAAATGGAAATATATATCCTAATTTCAAGGCTCTTTAAATTTCTGTTTGCTAAGCATAATCAAACAAAACACGAAGAAAAAGAGTCACAACAATTTTATTGGCTAAGCAACAGAAAGTGGAAACTATTGGATACTTCTTCTTTTTTTGATAAGTAATCATGAAATTATATAAATCAAAAGATAATACAGAAGGAGTGCATTCTCAGTTTAAACAAGATAGAAAACAACACAAAAAAACTCAGAAACGCAATATACTTGGCTGCTAATATTGGAATTAGAAACACTGAGATAATAGGAACCCTTCCAAAGCAATGTATAACTGTAGAAGCAGGAAGACAAAACCAAAAAAATTCAACACTTATAGCTATACACTTAAAAAAATATATGCTAACACATGCAAAAATACAATGTAATGATAAAAAAACCTAAACAATATTCATAAATGATTCCTCTACATAGCAAGGTACACTCTTTTCAAGTACAGAGAACTAACATTTTTTTTTGGCCCCTTATATACCATTCTCAAACCAAATTCTCCACAACCAAGTACATTTCAATCTAATTAATACATTTACCTGTATACATAAAATGCCAAAATAAAAACAAAAAGAATGATATAAAAAACAAAAACACCACTAATTAAATTCAATGCCAGGTAGATACATACCCAGGATGGCGTCGAACTTTGAAGGCAGAGGTGATGAATCCAATGGCAATTTGGCCCTTAGCACCCGCGTTTTTCACGTACATTTCGAAGTAGTAAAGAAGCCGCTTTGACGGGGCGGCACAGTTAGCATGAACCACTCCAACATCATGACCGTGCAAATTCACATTCGGGTACAACACAGACAACTTATCAGGGCCCACCACCGAAAACCCGCCCGAACTGTTCACCGTGTCGAGCTCCGTCGGAAACTCTTCTCCGTCATCTTCATATTCCAAATCGGGTCGCGCGGAATCAGATTCAGTTCCGGAATTGGAGGGGGTTGGGTTTAAGGTTAGGGTTTGGGAATTATGGCGCCATTGCTGAAGGAAGTAAGAACTTATGAGCTCGTTCGCGAATTGATTTTGATCCATTATTCTGAAATTCTTCAGAAATTTCAAAATTAAGATTGCATTAAAGAAAATTGGGAATTTTTGAGGAAAATCTCAGAATTGGAAACTTTTCTAGCAGAGATTCCCGGAAAAGAAAGGGAAAGAAAAACGAAGTACAGTTACTCCAATCTTTCTTCTACAGTGTTATCAAGCAAAATCGCACTAGCGAATTAGATGAAATCATTTCCGGAGAAGCAAAATCAGTAGTGCTACGTGTACTCAGCTGTTCACCGCATGACGTGGCAGCTATTTTTTTTTAACAGGTGAGATGGTTTTCAATTTACCGGGTTGCCCCCGCCCATATTATTATCTAATTCAGCTTCAGTTTTTTTTAAAGATGAGATGGTTTTTCATATGGAACCGTTCGGGTTCAGTTCCGTTCGGTTCGGTTCTGGTCAGTTCGGTTCCGTTCGGTTCTGTACCATAATCAAATTTTTTAATATTTACAGTAACACTATATAAATACAACTAATGACATTTCATTCGTAACTTTTACAAATTAACGTAACTCAATTCAAAAACATATAAATAACTAGTCGTCCAATAAAATTAATTCAACGCATACAAATACCAAAAAATAGATATTAATATTACAGCAAAATTAAAATTAAAATGGGTTAATGAGTTTAAAAATGATTTAAGCTTTAAAATTAAAATTATGAAATAATCTGATTTATTTAATTAATCTGCTAATATGTTTAAAAAAATAAAATAATTTAATTAATTCAATATAAAAAATAAAAAAATTATTTGGTTTCGATTCTTATTCGGTTCTTCGGTTCTTGGTCTAGACCCGAGACCCGACCCAAACCCATCGGTTCTCGATTCGGGTACCCGTTCGGGTATTTAATTTATGAAGAATTGCTCGATTCGATTCGGTTCGGGTCGGGTCGGGTCGGGTTCGGTTCGGTCTGGTTCAGTTCGGGACTTTTGGACACCCCTACTATTACATATTTCAAAATTAAGAAAATAAGTTTGGAATTGCAAAAATAGATTTTTATTAAAATTTAATTATTAATTAAACACAATGATGCCATAATTATACAATTAATAGTCACAGGTACATAATTAATTGGTCACATATTATTTTTGAGGACATAAATTAAAAATTTTATAAGTCACGAATTATTTTGAGATCACGGTTCAAAACTTTTATAAGTCACAATTTGTATTTTGATCACATATCAAAATTTTTGGAAGGCACAGATTATTTTTTGGTCACAAATCAATAATTTTAAAGGCCATAAATTATTTTATTGGTCATAGATCNATTTTTATTAAAATTTATTATGATTTAATTAATTAATTTATTAAATTATTAATTAAACATAATGATGTCATAATTATACAATTAATAGTCACATGTACATAATTAATTGGTCACATATTATTTTTGAGGTCACAAATCAAAAATTTTATAAGTCACGAATTATTTCGAAATCACAGTTCAAAACTTTTATAAGTCACAATTTGTATTTTGATCACATATCAAAATTTTTGGGAGGTCACAGATTATTTTTTGGTCACAAATCAATAATTTTAAAGGTCACAGATTATTTTATTGGTTACAGATAAAAAAATTATAGGTCACAGATTAATTTTTAGTCACAAATTGTCGACTTTTAAGGCCACGTATTAATTTTTAGTCAGAAATTGTAGAATTTTAAGGTCACAGATAGTCTATTATGCGGTCACAGTTGGTCACGAATCACACCACAGGTTCAAACAACAATCGCCCGCACCGCAACCACCGCACCATCTCCACCGCCACCCAAACCACCATTTCTACCCGACACCTATTCACTGTTAATAAAAAACCAATTTAATCTATCACCGCCAACCACAACCAGTAACGCTGCCACCACCCATTCCGCCACTAAAGCACCAACCACAACCGGTAACGCTGCCACCAACATCGACATCACAACCACCATCGCGACGAGCATCGCACCGCCAACAGAGAAACTCAAACCACTTCACACCAGCCTCAACCATCAGATCTGCCACCGTCAACCACCACCAAAGCAGAGAGAAATCTCGCTGGTGCTGCATCACTCTTTTTTGACTAGCAATCTAATGGATCTGAAGGGAGGCGAAAGAAGTTACGAGGGGGCTAAGGTAGGGTTGATGGAGCCAAAACGGTGGTCGGCGACCCTTCAATGCGTGCGGCGGTCCTACCTGAGAAACGCTGCGAGTTCGCAGCAGCCGGGAAATTACGGAAGCACCGTCGGGAAATTCTGTCAACATTATGGGAGCAGCAATCTCGGGCGGCGAAGAGAGAGACAGGGAAATTTTGTCAACATTACGGGACTCCTCCTCCGACGGGCGGCGAAGAGAGAGACAGGGAAATGGAGAGGAACAGTAGGTTGAGGAGAGAAGCG